GGATGTTTATTTTAGTGTCAAGAGGGAATGTTTTAGTGTGACGCCACATACAACAGACAGGAAGTGTGTGTTGTAGACAGGGGATTGGACAGTAGAGGGAGCCACCCATATCTTGGGAAGATTATATATACTGGGCAAAAACGAAGAAGAGGTTAGAGCGGCCATTGCAATCTGGGACGCCGCTCTCCGGGTGGTCATGACATCTGTAAAACTTATGCTGGAATATTGTGATATGAATAAACCTTATGATCAAAGTACAGCCTAAGCGGACTCCTTTGTTTGACAGCAATAATTACCAGCATTGACACGATACTACAAAAACTAACCCTAACTCTAACCCTAACACTAATTCTACCTTAAGCCTAAACCCCCTAGAAATAGCATTTGACCTTGTGGGGACAAATAAATTCCCAAGTTGGTCAAATGTTTTGTTCGTTTACTGTTCTTGAAGACTTCTGGTCCCCACAAGTATAGTTAAACACGTCCACACAAACACTGCAGTCCAACGCATGGAGGAACTCTCCCACACTGTTCGAGGATCAGATCAAAGTAAATCAAGTTGTTTTTAAAACATGCTCATCACTGATTTACTTTTATTTCCTGTGATGACAGTGAATCAGAGAGGGTAAATGCACCATGCATGATACAAAAAAATAGATACAGTTGAATTCGGAAGTTTACATACACCTTAAACATTTAAACTCAGTTTTTCACCATTCCTGACATTTAATCCTAGTAAAAATTCCCTGTCTTAGGTCAGTTAGGATCACCACTTAATTTTAAGAAGGTGAAATGTCAGAATAATAGTAGAGAGAATGATTTATTTCAGCTTTTATTTCTTTCATCACATTCCCAGTGGGTCAGTAGTTTACATACACTCAATTAGTATTTGGTAGCATTGCCTTTAAATTGTTTAACTTGGGTCAAATGTTTCGGGTAGCCTTCCACAAGCTTCCCACAATAAGTTGGGTGAATTTTGGCCCATTCTTCCTGACAGAGCTGGTGTAACTGAGTCAGGTTTGTAGGCCTCCTTGCTCGCACACGCTTTTTCAGTTCTGCCCACACATTTTCTATAGGATTGAGGTCAGGGCTTTCTGATGGCCACTCCAATACCTTTACTTTGTTGTCCTTAAGCCATTTTGCCACAACTATGGAAGTATTCTTGGGGTCATTGTCCATTTGGAAGACCCATTTGTGACCAAGCTTTAACTTCCTGACTGATGTCTTGAGATGTTGCTTCAATATATCCACATAATTGTCCTTCCTCATGATGCCATCTACTTTGTGAAGTGCACCAGTCCCTCCTGCAGCAAAGCACCACCACAGCATGATGCTGCCACCCCCGTGCTTCACGGTTGGGATGGTGTTCTTCGGCTTGCAAGCAACCCCCTTTTTCCTCCAAACATTACAATGGTCATTATGGCCAAACAGTTCTATTTCTGTTTCATCAGACCAGAGGACATTTCTCAAAAAAGTACAATCTTTGTCCCCATGTGCAGTTGCAAACTGTAGTCTGGCTTTTTTTATGGCGGTTTTGGAGCAGTGGCTTCTTCCTTGCTGAGCAGCCTTTCAGGTTATGTCGATATAGGACTCGTTTTACTGTGGATACACAGTATTTGATACACTGCCGATTTTGCAGGTTTTCCTACTTACAAAGCATGTAGAGGTCTGTCATTTTTATCATAGGTACACTTCAACTGTGAGAGACGGAATCTAAAACAAAAATCCAGAAAATCACAATGTATGCATTTTATTGCATGACATAAGTATTTGATCACCTACCAACCAGTAAGAATTCCGGCTCTCACAGACCTGTTAGTTTTCTTTAAGAAGCCCTCCTGTTCTCCACTCATTACCTGTATTAACTGCACCTGTTTGAACTCGTTACCTGTATAAAAAAGACACCTGTCCACACACTCAATCAAACAGACTCCAACCTCTCCACAATGGCCAAGACCAGAGAGCTGTGTAAGGACATCAGGGATAAAATTGTAGACCTGCACAAGGCTGGGATGGGCTACAGGACAATAGACAAGCAGCTTGGTGAGAAGGCAACAACTCTTGGCGCAATTATTAGAAAATGGAAGAAGTTCAAGATGACGGTCAATCATCCTCGGTCTGGGGCTCCATGCAAGATCTCACCTCGTGGGGCATCAATGATCATGAGGAAGGTGAGGGATCAGCAGCCCAGAACTACACGGCAGGACCTGGTCAATGACCTGAAGAGAGCTGGGACCACAGTCTCAAAGAAAACCATTAGTAACACACTACGCCGTCATGGATTAAAATCCTGCAGCGCACGCAAGGTCCCCCTGCTCAAGCCAGCGCATGTCCAGGCCCAACTGAAGTTTGCAAATTACCATCTAGATGATCCAGAGGAGGAATGGGAGAAGGTCATGTGGTCTGATGAGACAAAAATAGAGCTTTTTGATCTAAACTCCACTCGCCGTGTTTGGAGGAAGAAGAAGGATGAGTACAACCCCAAGAACACCATCCCAACCGTGAAGCATGGAGGTGGAAACATCATTCTTTGGGGATGCTTTTCTGCAAAGGGGACAGGACGACTGCACCGTATTGAGGGGAGGATGGATGGGGCCATGTATCGCGAGATCTTGGCCAACAACCTCCTTCCCTCAGTAAGAGCATTGAAGATGGGTCGTGGCTGGGTCTTCCAGCATGACAATGACCCGAAACACACAGCCAGGGCAACTAAGGAGTGGCTCCGTAAGAAGCATCTCACGGTCCTGGAGTGGCCTGTAATTTTCATCATAGGTACACGTCAACTATGACAGACAAATTGAGGAAAGAAAATCCAGAAAATCACATTGTAGGATTTTTAATGAATTTATTTGCAAATTATGGTGGAAAATAAGTATTTGGTCACCTACAAACAAGCAAGATTTCTGGCTCTCACAGACCTGTAACTTTTTCTTTAAGAGGCTCCTCTGTCCTCCACTCGTTACCTGTATTAATGGCACCTGTTTGAACTTGTTATCAGTATAAAAGACACCTGTCCACAACCTCAAACAGTCACACTCCAAACTCCACTATGGCCAAGACCAAAGAGCTGTCAAAGGACACCAGAAACAAAATTGTAGACCTGCACCAGGCTGGGAAGACTGAATCTGCAATAGGTAAGCAGCTTGGTTTGAAGAAATCAACTGTGGGAGCAATTATTAGGAAATGGAAGAAGTTCAAGATGACTGTCAATCATCCTCGATCTGGGGCTCCACGCAAGATCTCACCCCTCCTTCCATCAGCAAGAGCATTGAAGATGAAACGTGGCTGGGTCTTTCAGCATGACAATGATCCCAAACACACCGCCCGGGCAATGAAGGAGTGGCTTCATAAGAAGCATTTCAAGGTCCTGGAGTGGCCTAGCCAGTCTCCAGATCTCAACCCCATAGAAAATCTTTGGAGGGAGTTGAAAGTCCGTGTTGCCCAACGACAGCCCCAAAACATCACTGCTCTAGAGGAGATCTGCATGGAGGAATGGGCCAAAATACCAGCAACAGTGTGTGAAAATCTTGTGAAGACTTACAGAAAACGTTTGACCTGTGTCATTGCCAACAAAGGGTATATAAAAGTATTGAGAAACTTTTGTTATTGACCAAATACTTATTTTCCACCATAATTTGCAAATAAATTTATTAAAAATCCTACAATGTGATTTTCTGGAATTTTTTCTTCTCATTTTGTCTGTCATAGTTGACGTGTACCTATGATGAAAATTACAGGCCTCTCATCTTTTTAAGTGGGAGAACTTGCACAATTGGTGGCTGACTAAATACTATTTTTCCCCACTGTATGTCATGCAATAAAATGCAAATTAATTACTTAAATCATACAATGTGATTTTCTGGATTTTTGTTTTAGATTCCGTCTCTCACAGTTGAAGTGTACCTATGATAACAATTACAGACCTCTACATGCTTTGTAAGTAGGAAAACCTGCAAAATCGGCAGTGTATCAAATACTTGTTCGCCCCACTGTAGATACCTTTGTACCCGTTTCCTCCAGCATCTTCACAAGGTCCTTTGCTGTTGTTCTGGGATTGATTTGCACTTTTCGCACCAAAGTACGTTCATCTCTAGGAGACAGAACGCGTCTCCTTCCTGAGCGGTATGACGGCTGCGTGGTCCTATGATGTTTATACTTGCGTACTATTGTTTGTACAGATGAACGTGGTACCTTCAGGCGTTTGGAAATTGCTCCCAAGGATGAACCATTTAAATTAAAATTTTAGTCATTTAGCAGATGCTCTTATCCAGAGCGACTTACAGGAGCAATTAAGTGCCTTGCTCAAGGGCACATCGACAGATTTTTCACCTAGTCGGCTCGGGGATTAGAACCAGCGACCTTTCGGTTACTGGCACAATGCTCTTAACCACTAACCTACCTGCCGCCCTACACAGACTTGTGGAGGTAAACATTTTTTTCTGAGGTCTTGGCTGATTTCTTTAGATTTTCCCATGATGTCAAGCAAAGAGGCACTGAGTTTGAAGGTAGGCCTTGAAATACATCCACAGGTACACCTCCAATTGACTCAAATGATGTCAATTAGCCTATCAGAAGCTTCTAAAGCCATGACATCATTTTCTGGAATTTCCCAAGCTGTTTAAAGGCACAGTCAACTTAGTGTATGTAAACTTCTGACCCACTGGAATTGTGATACAGTGAATTATAAGTGAAATAATCGGTCTGTAAACAATTGTTGGAAAATGTACTTGTGTCATGCACAAAGTAGATGTCCTAACCGACTTGCCAAAACTATAGTTTGTTAACAAGACATTTGTGGAGTGGTTGAAAAACAAGTTTTAATGATTCCAACCTAAGTGTATGAAAACTTCCAAATTCAACTAAATATATATATTTTTTTGCAATGTGATAAGTCTGTTAAATAACTGTTGAAAGTCCATTTTGATTCTAAATGTATTGTGTATAACATAACACATTCCAACATCAATCAACTCTGAACATGAACACAGCCACACACACACTGTGATCGTTTCATAGAAAACACTTTTAATGATTTGAGTTTACTCTTCGGCACTGGTCAATAAAGGGTACAGCATGTGTGTGTGAGACAATGATTAAATACCATCAAAATGACAGTAAACAGTCACACATGAGGACCTTTCAGATGTGAAGATTACATACATTTCCATGACTACCTGTCCAGGCATCTGTATGACCTTGACATAATATCTTACTGTGGATCTAAATTAAGTACTCAAAATATGGAATGTGTGTGACTGGGGTCAAGGTGTGTGTCTCTCATGTGTCGGCTCCCCGGCTGTGTATGGCCGTGGTTGGAGGACCAGGCTGGGCCGGAGCTATCCCATCAGGCTGCGCAGGTGGGTCTGACAGAAGAGAAGAAGAAACTACATAAGTGGCTGCGTTCCAGCAGATCAGTTTTATGCAGTCAATGGTCAATGGGTTGCATTATGGGGATAAAAATTTGTCCAACTTGTGCCTCACATGTCGACTGCATGAACTTTACAAAAACCATGTGATCAAAGGTCATGCAGTTGCTGCATACCAACTGCACTCTGCAGTCATCACCTGCATTGTGGGAGGCAGGCACTATTTGTCAATTAGGGTGATTTTGCTTGACACACGCAAATGTGACCAAAGACGTGACTGAAACAGAAACCACCTTGGCCGCAAATCAAAAGCTACAGTGGATATAAATTAATGTGATATTTGAGACCTCTCTCCAACCAATTCATTGTACACATGGTAGTGTCAACAGCTGCTATTGTTTATAAAAGTTTTATTTAAATGTTTTCAGTTTGTGAGTGTGTGATACAAGTGTAGGAACACGTTTATTTTCGACATTTAAAGAAACCTTTTATAAACAATAGCAGCTGTTGACACTACCATGTTAATCTGAGGCTTGCTGTTGAAAGCCACTACACAGTGTCCGAATGTCAGCTGTGGCAGATGCACCTTAAATTCAAACTCAAAACACGCTCAATATATGTAACTTTTATGGATACAAAAATGCTCTACAAATTTTCCACAGCTAAGGGCACGTTTGGAGCAGTGTGGGGTTGGAGTTACAGGTCAGGGGTTAGAGATCAGGGTTAGAGGTCAGGGGTTAGAGGTCAGGGGTTAGAGGTCAGGGTTAGAGGTCAGGGGTTAGAGGTCAGGGTTAGAGGTCAGGGTTAGAGGTCAGGGTTAGAGGTCAGGGGTTAGAGGTCAGGGGTTAGAGGTCAGGGTTAGAGGTCAGGGGTTAGAGGTCAGGGGTTAGAGGTCAGGGGTTAGAGGTCAGGGTTAGAGGTCAGGGGTTAGAGGTCAGGGTTAGAGGTCAGGGTTAGAGGTCAGGGTTAGAGGTCAGGGTTAGAGGTCAGGGTACCCACACATGCCATTGGAAGCTCCAGGGTGTCGGGGGGCCATGGTGAGAGAGTTCCCTTCAGTAGGCATAATCCGGCTGGGCATGGACTGGCCTAGAGATGGGGTAGAGATGGATATCTTGATCTCTACATACTCACAGGGTGCAGGCGTGCGTATATTGTACAGTCGTGGTCAAAAGTTTTGAGAATGACACAAATACTAATTTTCACAAAGTCTGCTGCCTCAGTTTTGATGATGGCAATTTGCATATACTCCAGAATGTCATGAAGAGTGATCAGATGAATTGCAATTAATTGCAAAGTCCCTCTGTGCCATGAAAATGAACTAAATCCCCAAAAAACATTTCCACTGCATTTCAGCCCTGCCACAAAAGGACCAGCTGCCATCATGTCAGTGATTCTCTCGTTAACACAGGTGAGAGTGTTGACGAGGACAAGGCTGGAGATCACTCTGTCATGCTGATTGAGTTAGAATAACAGACTGGAAGCTTTAAAAGGAGGGTGGTGCTTGAAATCATTGTTCTTCCTCTGTTAACCATGGTTACCTGCAAGGAAACATGTGCCGTCATCATTGCTTTGCACAAAAAGGGGTTCACAGGCAAGGATACTGCTGCTAGTAAGATTGCACCTAAATCAACCATTTATCGGATCATCAAGAACTTCAAGGAGCGAGGTTCAATTGTTGTGAAGAAGGCGTCAGGGCGCCCAAGAAAGTCCAACAAGCGCCAGGACGTCTCCTAAAGTTGATTCAGCTGCGGGATCGGGGCACCACCAGTGCAGAGCTTGCTCAGGAAGGGCAGCAGGCAGGTGTGAGTGCATCTGCATGCACAGTGAGGCGAAGACTTTTGGAGGATGGCCTGGTGTCAAGAATGGCAGCAAAGAAGCCACTTCTCTCCAGGAAAAACATCAGGGACAGACTGATATTCTGCAAAAGGTACAGGGATTGGACTGCTGAGGACTGGGGTAAAGTCATTTTCTCTGATGAATCCCCTTTCCGATTGTTTGGGGCATCTGGAAGACAAGGTGAGCGCTACCATCAGTCCTGTGTTATGCCAACAGTAAAGCATCCTGAGACCATTCATGTGTGGGGTTGCTTCTCAGCCAAGGGAGTGGGCTCACTCACAATTTTGCCTAAGAACACAGCCATGAATAAAAAATGGTACCAACACATCCTCCGAGAGCAACTTCTCCCAACCATCCAAGAACAGTTTGGTGATGACCAATGCCTTTTCCAGCACGATGGAGCACCTTGCCATAAGGTAAAAGTGATAACTAAGTGGCTCAGGGAACAAAACATCGACATTTTGGGTCCATGGCCAGGAAACCCCCCAGACCTTAATCCCATTGAGAACTTGTGGTCGATCCTCAAGAGGCGGGTGGACAAACAAAAACCCACAAATTCTGACAAACTCCAAGCATTGATTACGCAAGAATGGGCTGCAATCAGTCAGGATGTGGCCCAGAAGTTAATTGACAGCATGCCAGGGCGGATTGCAGAGGTCTTGAAAAAGAAGGGTCAACACTGCAAATATTGACTCTTTGCATAAACTTAATGTCATTGTCAATAAAAACCTTTGACACTGCTTGTAATTATACTTCAGTATACCATAGTAACATCTGACAAAGATATCTCATAACACTGAAGCAGCAAACTTTGTGAAGACCAATACTTTTGACCACGACTGTACTGTGTACAGACCTGTGTGCTGTTGTAGAGTGTATGGTGATTGCTGCTCTCTCTGCTGTAGAATCCTCATCTCTGCGTGTTTCAGCTGCTCGGAGTGGAAACTCTGTCGCTCTGACAACAGCTGCTGACGCTGCTGCTCCAACTACATAGGGAGGGGAGACACCAGGGCTTGACGTTCAGGTAAATGTGCCAGTGCCAACTGAAAGCTACTGGCCTGAATTAAAAGAAATACTGGCCTGTGCCAAGATCGCACAGAGAAGCGTATGATGCGCCTAATTTCAATATCGGCTGATTTTATATTACATTTGCGGGCTGAGCAAGTAGCCTACAGCCTATAATAACCTACCCTCCATACACAAATAATGACATTTTAACTTGACAATATCACATTTAGATTGACTGGATGAAAAAACAGTGTTGAGCGATTAACCAACATTTGTTCTTTTTTAGTTTTTAAACAACTCATTTCATTTTTTTAAAGAACTAATTGACCAACATCGGTTCAATTTTTTACTTTTTTTTAATGGGAGTGCAATGCAGTTTCTCTAGATAGATCAGATCAAGCCCGAACTGTGCGATGTAGTAGGGAGTTGTTTCCAACAGGCCAATATTCTGCATTATTTAGTGCCAAAAACGTGGTAATTAACTACAATGACCTTAATCCATCGCGCGCCTACTTGTCCGGTCTGAGACGGAGAGAAGAGACAGAAGAACGCGCGATGTAGTCTACAGTGATCTAGTCTACAGTGATCTAGTCTACAGTGATCTAGTCTCACCGCCTCTTTCTCTCGGTCCATGATGGTCTCCAGCTCCTCAAAGTGTCTCAGTTTGATCTCCAGCTTCTTCATCTGAGTCTCCACCAGCAGAGCCACCAGAGACTTGATCTTCCTCTCCTCTACCGCTGACAGGTGCTATGGAGAGAGAGAAGGAGAGATGTAGAGAGAGAGGGGAGTAGAGAGAGAGAGGTGGAGAGAGGGGAGTAGAGAGAGAGGGGAGTAGAGAGAGGGAGAGAGGGGAGTATAGAGAGAGAGAGGTGGAGAGAGGGGAGTAAAGAGAGAGGGGGGAGAGAGGGGAGTAGAGAGAGAGAGGTGGAGAGAGGGGAGTAGAGAGAGAGGGAAGTAGAGAGAGGGGAGTATAGAGAGGAGTAGAGAGAGAGGGAGGGAGAGAAAGAGAGAGAGAGAGGTTAGAGGACTTGATTGACTAGGTCCTAAGTAATGGCTGTAGTGACAGGCCAGAAGAAAGGAAGCAGAGCGTAATAGGCCAGTTGAATGGACAGTAGACAGGGATGGGCTGATGGGTGGGGTACGTGGGCATCTATAGGGTGGTTTGAGGATCGTGGGCGGGGCTTACCTTGGCCTTTGTAGCGGCGGAGGCCAGAGCAGCAGCTGCTGCCTTGACAACGGTCCCGTCTACAAACTCCAGCTCTGCCCGTCTCCTCCCTTCATCCCTCCCTCCTCCCACAAGCTCCTCCTCCTCCCCTTGGTCTAAACGAGAGAACGAAGGAGAAATCATCTACAAGATACAACACACACACACACCACGTCTGTATAAATAACAACACACACACACACCACGTCTATATATACAACAACACACACACACACACACACACCAAGTCTGTATAAATAACATCAGACACACCTGTCTTGTTCTCCTCTCCTCTCTCTCCGTCTCTCTCCTCTGTGACGGTCGTTTCAGTGTTCTCTCTTTTCACTCGCTCTCCTTCTGCTCTCTCTCCTCTGCTGGGCTCTGGAACCTTCTGTCCATCCGCCTGGAACACAAACAAACAACGAATCATCATCCATTTACAATCAGATTATTAGAAGAAGAAAAGAAAAAAAGTGTCACTTCCTGTCTCACCTGCAGAGGCTGCTGGGAGTCAGAGTCCGACTCCATATTCTCACCATCCATCGCGTCTACAGGAGAGAGAGCGAGAGAGAGGTAGCCTAGTGGTTAGAGAGGCAAGCCAGCAAAGTAATCAGTTCGAGGGTTGCCAGTTCGAATCCCGGTTCCAATGGAGAAAAACAATTTTTTAGGCAGAAGGTGAGCTGGCAATCGGAGGGCTGCTGGTATCAAATCCTAGATGCCATTGCCTGCTGTCATGCCCTTAACCCCCCCCCCCCCACACACCTCTCCAAAACCTGTATATGCATGTACAGTTGCTTTTGAAACTATTCACCCCCCTTGGCATTTTTCCTATTTTGTTGCCTGGAATTAAAATTGATTTTTGGGGGGTTTGTATCATTTGATTTACACAACATGCCTACCACTTTGATGATGCAAAATATTTTTTATTGTGAAACAAACAAGAAATAAGACAAAAAAACTTGAGCGTGCAAAACTATTCATCCCCCCAAAGTCAATACTTAATAGAGCCAACTTCTGCAGCAATTACAGCTGCAAGTCTCTTGGGGTATGTCTCTATAAGCTTGGCACATCTAGCCACTGGGATTTTTGCCCATTCTTCAAGGCAAAACTGCTCCAGCTCCTTCAAGTTGGATGGGTTCCGCTGGTGTACAGCTATCTTTAAGTCATACCACAGATTCTCAATTGGATTGAGATCTGGGCTTTGACTAGGCCATTCCAAGACATTTAAGTTTCCCCTTAAACCACTCGAGTGTTGCTTTAGCAGTATGCTTAGGGTCATTGTCCTGCTGGAAGGTGAACCTCCGTCCCAGTCTCAAATCTCTGGAAGACTGAAACAGGTTTCCCTCAAGAATTTCACTGTATTTAGCTCCATCCATCATTCCTTCAATTCTGACCAGTTTCCCAGTCCCTGCCGATGAAAAACATCCCCACAGCATGATGCTGCCACCACCATGCTTCACTGTGGGGGTGGTGTTCTCGGGGTGATGAGAGGTGTTGGGTTTGCACCAGACGTAGCGTTTTCCTTGATGGCCAAAAAGCTCCATTTTAGTCTCATCTGACCAGAGTACCTTCTTCCATATGTTTGGGGAGTCTCCCACATGCCTTTTGGCGAACACCAAATGCGCTTTTTTCTGGCCACTCCGTAAAGCCCAGCTCTGTGGAGTGTACGGCTTAATGTGGTCCTATGGACAGATACTCCAATCTCCGCCGTGGAGCTTTGCAGCTCCTTCAGGGTTAACTTTGGTATCTTTGTTGAATCTCTTATTAATGCCCTCCTTGCCTGGTCCGTGAGTTTTGGTGGGCGGCCCTCTCTTGGCAGGTTTGTTGTGGTGCCATATTCTTTCCATTTTTTAATAATGGATTTAAAATGGTGCTCCGTGGGATGTTCAAAGTTTCTGATATTTTTTCTCCACAATTTTGTCCCTGACCTGTTTGGAGAGCTCCTTGGTCTTCATGGTGCCGCTTGCTTGGTGGTATCCCTTGCTTAATGGTGTTGCAGACTCTGGGGCCTTTCAGAACAGGTGTATATATACTGAGATCATGTGACACTTAGATTGCACACAGGTGGACTTTATTTAACTAATATATGTTAAATAAATATATTTCCCACGGGGGGCCAGTATGAAAAAATACAAATATAATGTATGCACTCACTAACTGTAAGTCGCTCTGGATAAGAGCGTCTGCTAAATGACTAAAATGTAAATGTAATGTGACTTCTAAAGGTAATTTGTTGCACCAGATCTTATTGAGGGGCTTCATAGCAAAGGGGGTGAATATATATGCACGCACCAATTTTCCGTTATTTATTATTTAGAATTGTTTTTGATTTCACTTCACCAATTTTGACTATTTTGTGTATGTCCATTACATGAAATACAAATCCATTTAAATTACAGGTTGTATTGCAACAAAATAGGAAAAACGCCAAGGGGGATGAATAATTTTGCAAGGCACTGTATGTGTATGCATATTTCTTTCGGGGGGGGGGGGGGTTAAAAGCGGATGTCAAATTTCGGTTGGACCTTGTGTGCAATTGACCAATAAAGTGATCTCAATCTTACAGGATGATGGAAGGATTCTCTGCTGCACAGAGTCTGAGGGTTTTGGAGTGTGTATGTGTGTACCAGGGTTTCCGGTAACAGACGGCTTTTGGACGATAAAAAAAAAAGTTAAGCTGATAAATAAAAACTTCCGCTGGCCAACTGTCCAGGAGAAGAAGAAAAATCCCATTGCAAAATAATGATTTTTAGCCTATTCATTGATGGAAATACCAGCCGATGGAAATACATTTGACCGGTCGTGCTTATCGGTCTATACGTTACTTTGCATAATTTAGTGGAATTAAATTGCCGCATGTGTATAGTCGTTATGCTTCCCTTGCTTCAAAGTAAAATCCGACATGGAGGGAATTATTTTATCAAGACTTCCATATGCCATTGAAACAAGAAGCCTATTTCACTCGTGTTCTATTGGTTTTTAAATCAACTTCCTTTCATTGTCCAGTAGCCAAAGACACAAACCTAGTCATATTAGCAACCCATCCTAGTTGTTGCATCTTTAGATCTCACCCCTTTCAACATTTCGAATGGATATTTTCATCTTTGTCACATGAAACCGCTCGCATTTGCGCTTTTGACAATGGTGTTTTCCCGCTAATTGCATTATGGAACAAACATTCGCACGTAGCCTCCTGCCTTGTGCACATTGCTGAGCTTATAATGTGAAGAAATAATCGGTTATCAACATTTTAAAGCTAAACGTTCTGATCTGTTGCATCAGACTCATTGCTTTTTAAAGTTATTGTTTTATGTAGCCTAGGCCTACTGGTTGGATGACTTTGGGATCTATCCTCCCACAACTGTCCCAGAGTCTGTTTGGAACAGGCTATTTCTTTGTCGCGCAGAACGACAAGCTGACCAACAGAACAGGTCAACTTTTCTACTATGGGGGATAGTAGATTGACATAGGCTAGTGATTTTGCTGTTAGTTACTCGTCTTGTTGGCTGAGGAAAAGTAAAATGTGGACAGTTATGGACAGTTATTGAAGATGTATATTAACATCTTCAAATGCGCATCGGAATTCGGTAAGAAGGACATCCTCGAGTTGCCTGTTCTGTTATTATGAATTACCATCATCTAAATGTGATATCTGTCATTCTGACCACCTTAGGTGGATGCCCTAATCAGGTTACGCACCGAATGCATATGGGTCCGGTAAATGTCTCAAATGTCCATTAAATTAAAATGCTGCCGGTCAAATGTCCGCCGCTACATATTCCTAGTGGAAAACCTGGTGTGTACGTGTGTGTCTGCCGTGTTTCAGACTCATACCTGTCTTCTCAGCCTCCTTGAGGGCAGGGAACTCCAGAACCTTGTCAGCCTCCTCACGGACACGACAAAACTCCTCTACAGAGACAGAAACTGGGTTAACACACACACACACACACACACACACACACACACACTGAGTAAAACAAACACACATACACACACACACACACACACGTACCCAGGGCAGCCTTGGCAGCGGCAGCGGCGACTCTGGGATCGACCACGGATGCTAAGAACGCCACAGTGCTCATCACTGGGTTCTCTGACTGGCTGAAGGGAACGGGCTGGTAGGCCAATGGGCCGAGTGAGGAGGCAGAGTCCTCCAGATAGGGGTCTTCTATTGGCAGACGCAGGAAGTGAAGGATGCACTCATCCTGGGTACGAGACCCTACGTGTTCGGACACCTTGTTCCAGTCATCTCTATACACCTCTAATGCCTGGGATGGATAGATGGAATGAGAGAGGGAGAGAGAGAGAGAGAGGAAGGAGAACAAGGGGGGCATGGGAGGTAGAGAAATGTGGGAGGTAAGAGATGGAAAATAGAAGAAAAAGATTATAGGCCAGATAACATATAATACCTTTCTGATTGGTGGAGGGAACATCAGCTGAGAGATGATTGGCTCACCTCCAACAGTAGGAGGGTCTCCTGTTCTGTCCAATCCCTCCCTGAACTGGTTCCTTTACTCTTTGGGTGTTTCCTGGTGTACAGGTCTGTTCTGAGGCCAAAGTTCTGAGAGTCTGAGGGCTTCTCTACACTCCTCTCTGGGAAGAACAACATCTGCTGGGAGTAGGACACCTGGAGAGGGAGATGTGAAGGGAGGGATAGAGGGGGAGAGAGAGGGAGGGAGGGAGGGATGGATGGATGGAGGGGAGGAGAGAGAGGGAGGGGGAGAGATTTGAGAGGATCTTCTAGTCATAACACAGTGAGGATACAGGCTGTCAATTTAACGGTAAAAATCACCTCAATAATTTCACCTTTATAGTCTATGATTTTGAATACATAAATGTGTGTGTGTGTTACCTGTAGTGGTCTGTGCTGTAGCGGGGCCAGTCCTGAGGGTGTATCAGCCAGTGTGTTGAAGTGAGGGGTGGGAGGGGGTCCCATAGGGAGAGGTCTGATCTCTGCATCCACCTGGTAGTTCACTAACCCCCACTGCTCCAACAACGCATGGACCCTACACACACAGATACAACACACACACACAGTTACAGAGTTAGAATATACACACACACACACACACACACACACACAGATATAGAGTTAGAATATATACACTGATAGAAAACACACACTAAGTGGTGTTTTGAACTTCCTAGTACACCTCATGACGGCGCAGACGTCTCCCGTCAGGTTCCTTCTGCAGGAGGTGGAGCTGAGGTACTCCTGGGGGTTCAGCCGGTACGAATCGATCATGAAGTTACGGTACGCCAGGTATCTACACACACACAAACACACACACACACACACAGTGTTCATTATGTCTCCAAGGGGTACAGTCACGTCTGAAGAAAACAGCAGGGGTCCAAGAACTGAACCCTGGGGAACACGTGAAATTGCTCCTCACATCTCTGGAGATTTGGACTTGTTCTTTCCGTTAAAGTACTCCGGTAGCGCTCGTTTCTCGATCTGGTGAACACTGGAACATAGACACACTGTTTGGTTTAACGAACACAACAAAGAACGCTCATTTTGGAATTTGTGTGTGGTTGAGAGTGTGTGTGTGTTTCAGAGTGTGTTGTGTGTGTGTGTGTGTGTGGGTGTGTGTGTATTTGGGAGTGTGTGTGTGTTTGTGTGTGTGTTTGAGAGTGTGTGTGTGTGTGTTTGAGAGTGTGTGTGTGTGTGTGTTTGAGTGTGTGTTTGAGAGAGTGTGTGTGTGTTTGAGTGTTTGAGAGTGTGTGTGTGTGTGGTGTGACGTGTGTGGTTTGGAGTGTGTGTGCGTGTTGGTGTGTGTGTGTTGGAGTGTGTGTGTGTGTGTGTGTGTTGAGGTGTGTGTGTGTGTTTGAGACGGTGAGTGGTGTGTGTGTGTGTGTGTGTTTGGAGTGTGGTGTGTGTGTGTGTGCGTGTGTGTGTGTGTGTGTTGTGTGTTGTGTGTGTTTGAGAGTGTGTGTGAGTGTGTGTTTGAGAGAGTGTGTGTGTGAGTGTGTGTGTTTGAGAGAGTGTGTGTGTGTGTGTGTGTGTGTGTTTGAGAGTGTGTGTGTGTGTGTGAGTGTGTGTACTCACCAGTTATAGTTGAACCAGGCAGTGTAGGAGGGGACGATAATGTGGTGTGTTTGTTCTGTGATGTTGTCTTCTCCGTCTGATAGACGCAGCCCTTCTCTGCCCTCCTCATCATCCTCCTACACACACACACACACACACCAATACACACACAGCTATATGGATGGTACAGACATACTAAGTCCTAGTAAAATTATATAAAGTGATTGTATAAAATGCCATACATTCGAATTTTATAGTTACCCTTCCTCCAGGAAGCAAAGAGTCATCCTCGATTTCATCTGACAAAGAGAATAACAGAGGGATGAGAGGAGGAGTTACACAACTACACACACACACACACACAGAGAGAAACACACGCTGTCGCTCTCACCCAGGTCAGTCATCACCCCTCCTTTGACAGGAGTGTTCTCACTGTCCTTCTTCGGGTTTACTGCAGACAGAGAGTCAACAAGTCAACAACATCTGGTGTGAATGTGTATACAGTTGAAGTCGGAAGTTTACATACACTTAGGTTGGAGTCATTAAAACTCGTTTTTCAACCACTCCACAAATGGCTTGTTAACAAACTATAGTTTTGGCAAGTCTACTTTGTGCATGACACAAGTCATTTTTCCAACAATTGCTTACAGACAGATTATTTCACTTATGATTCACTGTATCACAATTCCAGTGGGTCAGAAGTTTACATACACTAAGTTGACTGTGCCTTTAAACAGCTTGGAAAATTCCAGAAAATGATGCCATGGCTTTAGAAGCTTCTGATAGGATAATTGACATCATTTGAGTCAATTGGAGGTGTACCTGTGGATGTATTTCAAGGCCTACCTTCAAACTCAGTACCTCTTTGCTTGACATCATGGGAAAATCAAAATAAATCAGCCAAGACCTCAGAAAAAACATTGTAGACCTCCACAAGTCTGGTTCATCCTTGGGAGCAATTTCCAAACGCCTGAAGGTACCACGTTCATCTGTACAAACAATAGTACGCAAGTATAAACACCATGGGACCACGAAGCCGTCATACCGCTCAGGAAGGAGACGCGTTCTGTCTCCTAGAGATGAACATACTTTGGTGCGGAAATTGCAAATCAATCCCAGAACAACAGCAAAGGACCTTGTGAAGATGCTGGAGGAAACAGTTACAAAAGTATCTATATCCACAGTAAAACGAGTCCTATATCGACATAACCTGAAAGGCCGCTCAGCAAGGAAGAAGCCACTGCTCCAAAACCACCATAAAAAAGCCAGACTACGGTTTGCAACTGCACATGGGGACAAAGATCGTACTTTTTGGAGAAATGTCCTCTGGTCTGATGAAACAAAAATAGAACTGTTTGGCCATAATGACCATCGTTATGTTTGGAGAAAAAAGGGGGATGCTTGCAAGCCGAAGAACACCATCCCAACCGTGAAGCACGGGGGTGGCAGCATCATGCTGTGGGGGTGCTTTGCTGCAGGAGGGACTGGTGCACTTCACAAAATAGATGGCATAATGAGTAAGGAAAATTATGTGGATATATTGAAGCAATATCTCAAGACATCAGTCAGGAAGTTAAAGCTTGGTCGCAAATGGGTCTTCCAAATGGACAATGACCCCAAGAATACTTCCAAAGTTGTGGCAAAATGGCTTAAGGACAACAAAGTCAAGGTATTGGAGTGGCCATCACAAAGCCCTGACCTCAATCCTATAGAAAATGTGTGGGCAGAACTGAAAAAGCGTGTGCGAGCAAGGAGGCCTACAAACCTGACTCAGTTACACCAGCTCTGTCAGGAGGAATGGGCCAAAATTCACCCAACTTATTGTGGGAAGCTTGTGGAAGGCTACCCGAAACGTTTGACCCAAGTTAAACAATTTAAAGGCAATGCTACCAAATACTAATTGAGTGTATGTAAAATTCTGACCTACTGGGAACGTGATGAAAGAAATAAAAGCTGAAATAAATAATTCTCTCTACTATTATTCTGACATTTCACCTTCTTAAAATAAAGTGGTGATCCTAATTGACCTAAGACAGGGAATTTTTACTAGGATTAAATGTCAGGAATTGTGAAAAACGGAGTTTAAATGTATTTGGCTAAGGTGTATGTAAACTTCCGACTTCAACTGTATATGTGTGTGTGTGTGTGTGTGTGTGTGTGTGTGTGTGTGTGTGTGTTTGGATGAGTGTGTGTTTGTGTGTACCATTCTTAGGCAGTACAATTTCCTCCATATTAGGGACAGGTGTTGGATCCTCCATATCTTTAGTCAGATCCTCCTCTACCACCTCCTCTTCCTCCTTTGGGCCACGCCTCTTAGACCCACCACTAGTGAGGGAAGGGTTAGAGGGAGAAGGGGCCAATGAGGAGGGATGGAAGAGGGGTCAGAGGGAGAAAGGGCCAATAGGGATGGAAGAAGGGGTCAGAGGGAGAAAGGGCCAATAGGGATGGAAGAGGGTCAGAGGAGAAAGGGGCCAATAGGGGATGGAAGAGGGGTCAGAGGGAGAAAAGGGCCAATAGGGATGGAAGAGGGTCAGAGGGAGAAAGGGCCATAGGGATGAAGAAGGGGTCAGAGGGAAAAGGGCCAATGAGGAGGGTAGAAGGGTCAGAGGGAGAAAGGGGCCAATAGGATGGAAGAGGGTTAAAGGGAGAAAGGGCCAATAGGGATGGAAGAGGGGTCAGAGGGAGAAAGGGCCATAGGGATGAGAAGGGGTCAGAGGGAGAAAGGGCCAATAGGGATGGAAGAGGGGTCAGAGGGAGAAAGGGCCAATAGGGATGGAAGAAGGGGTCAGAGGGAGAAAGGGCCAATGAGGAGGGTAGAAGGGTCAGAGGGAGAAAGGGCCAATAGGGATGGAAGAGGGGTTAAAGGGAGAAAGGGCCAATAGGGATGGAAGAGGGGTCAGAGGGAGAAAGGGCCAATAGGGATGGAAGAAGGGTTAAAGGGAGAAAGGGCCAATAGGGATGGAAGAGGGGTGATAGGGAGAAAGGGCCAATAGGGATGGAAGAGGGGTCAGAGGGAGAAAGGGCCAATAGGGATGGAAGAAGGGTTAAAGGGAGAAATGGCCAATAGGGATGGAAGAGGGGTCAGAGGGAGAAAGGGCCAATAGGGATGGAAGAAGGGTTAAAGGGAGAAATGGCCAATAGGGATGGAAGAGGGGTGATAGGGAGAAAGGGCCAATAGGGATGGAAGAAGGGTTAAAGGGAGAAAGGGCCAATAGGGATGGAAGAGGGGTCAGAGGGAAAAGGGCCAATAGGGATGGAAGAAGGGTTAAAGGGAGAAAGGGCCAATAGGGATGGAAGAGGGGTGATAGGGAGAAAGGGCCAATAGGGATGGAAGAGGGGTCAGAGGGAGAAAGGGCCAATAGGGATGGAAGAGGGGTCAGAGGGAGAAAGGGCCAATGAGGAGGGTAGAAGAGTTTCCGAGGGAGAAAGGGCCAATAGGGATGGAAGAGGGGTCAGAGGGAGAAAGGGCCAAGAGGGATGGAAGGAGGTTCAGAGGGAGAAAGGGCCAATGAGGAGGGTGAAAGGGTTTAAGGGAAGAAAAGGGCCAATAGGGATGGAAGAGTTTAAGAGGGAGAAAAGGGCCAATAAGGGATGGAAGAAGGGTTAAAGGGCGAAAATGGGCTCAATTAGGGATTGGGAAGAGGGGTCAGAGGGAGAACGGGCCAATAGGGATGGAAGAGGGGGTCAGAGGGAGAAAGGGCCAATGAGGAGGGTAGAAGAGTTAGAGGGAGAAAGGGACAATAGGTCAACTTTACCTCTTCTTTCCTCCTTTCTTTCTGCCGTCGGAAGAGGGAGGAGAGGGGGAGCGTATTCTCTTCTTCACTGGAGTAAACTTAAGGTCCTGATGGAGAGTGGGAGGGGGAGACAGGACGGGAGGGAGGGGGAGAGAGGAGTGATCAGAGAAGGGGTATAGTGAGGACGTATCAACTCTTAGAAAGTGGCTCACACAGGCCTCAGTTAAAGATTGAGGAGAGAGGACATCACACAGGCCTCAGTTAAAGATTGAGGAGAGAGGACATCACACAGGGCTCAGTTAAAGATTGAGGAGAGGACATCACACAAGCCTCGGTTAAAGATTGAGGAGAGGACATCACACAGGCCTCGGTTAAAGATTGAGGACATCACACAGGCCTCGGTTAAAGATTGAGGACATCACACAGGCCTCGGTTAAAGATTGAGGAGAGAGAGACATCACACAGGCCTCGGTTAAAGATTAGGAGAGAGGACATCACACAGCCTCGTTAAAGATTGAGGAGAAGGACATCACACAAGCCTCGGTTAAAGATTGAGGACATCACACAGGCCTTGGTTAAAGATTGAGGACATCACACAGGCCTCGGTTAAAGATTGAGGACATCACACAGGCCTCGGTTAAAGATTGAGGACATCACACAAGCCTCGGTTAAAGATTGAGGAGAGAGGACATCACACAGCCTCGGTTAAAGATTGAGGAGAGAGGACATCACACAGGCCTCGGTTAAAGATTGAGGACATCACACAGGCCTCGGTTAAGATTGAGGAGAGAGGACATCACACAGGCCTCGGTTAAGATTGAAGGAGAGAGGGACATCACACAGGCCTCGGTTAAAGATTGAGGACATCACACAGGCCTCGGTTAAAGATTGAGGAGAGAGGACATCACACAGGCCTCGGTTAAAGATTGAGGAGAGAGGACATCACACAGGCCTCGGTTAAAGATTGAGGAGAGAGGACATCACACAGGCCTCGGTTAAAGATTGAGGAGAGAGGACATCACACACACACCAATTTCACCAGCACACACTCAGCACTGAGCAACAGGATCTCTCGCACATACACACTGAGACACAGAGACACACACACACTGAGGCACAGACATACACACACTGTGGCAGACACAGAAACACACACACACACAGACACACACACACACAGAGACACAGACACACACACATACACACAGACTGACAGACAGACAGAAACACACAGACACAGAAACACACAAAGACACAGAAACACACAGAAACACACAGACTGAGGCACAGACACACTGAGACACAGACACACACACACTGAGACACAGACACACACTGAGACAGACACACACTGAGACAGACACACACAGAGACACACACAGACAGATAGACACAGACGACTGAGACACAGAAACACACAAAGACACAGAAACACACAGAAACAAACAGACACAGAAACACACAGACTGAGACACAGACAGACAGACAGACAGAGACACAGAGAGACTGTGACACAGAAACACACAGACAGAAACAGAAACACACTGGGACACAGACACTGAGACACAGACACACACACTGAGACACACACACACAAACACAAATAGACACACACACACACAGAGACACACAGAGACACACAGAGAGACACACACGACTGAGACACAGAAACACACAGACACTGAGACACAGAAACACACAGACTGAGACACAGACAGACAGACAGACGGAGACACAGAGAGACTGTGACACAGAAACACACAGACAGAAACAGAAACACACTGGGACACTGAGGCACAGACACTGAGACACAGACACACACACACACACACACAGAGACACACACAGAGACACAGACGACTGAGACACAGAAACACACAGAGACACACACACACTGAGACACAGACACACACAGAGACACAGACACACACCTGTTGGTCTGTGAGGTGGACTCTCCGGCGGAGGATGAGAGGAACGTTTCTGTCATTTACCAAGTAGTCTTCTTCATTCATCCATTCATTATACACCTCCGTATCCAACACCCAGCCTGCATGCACCTGTACACACACACACACACATTCAACACTTGTGGGAAATAGCCATAGAAGTGTGTGTGTGTGTGTGTGTGTGTGTGTGTGTGTGTGTGTGTGTTAGGGCTGACCCAATTTAGTCGACTGGTCGATTGTTTGGTCAATAGGCTGATGGTCGACTGAGATTTCTTTAGTTGAGCAGTAGCAAAAAAATAATTTAAAAAAAAGATAATGGTGCACAAGACACCTGTCTGATTGGCTCCTGTCTGAGTGGACTGATCCACTGTGGAGGCCGTGGGGGTGGTACAGTCCATCACTCTAAGACGTGCTACTGAAACAGTATATGGTTATATTACGTAAGAACAATGGTGCATCACTAATAAGAATAATATTATTTTATAACAAATGCGCTTTCTCCAGCGTTCTGAAACATCAGTGCGCTGTTGAATTGGCGCCTTTTCCGAGACCATGTTGCTATGTGCATAATAGCTAAGTTAACCAGCATATTGGTGTTGAGAACAATGCGGCGGAGGCAGCAGTGGAGTTAGGAGATGTGAAAACAGCCATTGCCTTAATTTTCTAAGAAAAGTGAGGAGAGAGGAAATGCCAACTTAATTAGGTCTATAATCAATAGCCTACCTGTTAAACATGCCTGGCTTTATAAATCATCCATTTATGGGGGGGGAAAGTATTTAGTCAGACACCAATTGTGCAAGTTCTCCCACTTAAAAAGATGAGAGGCCTGTAATTTTCATCATAGGTACACGTCAACTATGACAGACAAATTGAGGGAAAAAAATCCAGAAAATCACATTGTAGGATTTTTTATGAATTTATTTGCAAATTATGGTGGAAAATAAGTATTTGGTCACCTACAAACAAGCAAGATTTCTGGCTCTCACAGACCTGTAACTTCTTCTTTAAGAGGCTCCTCTGTCCTCCACTCGTTACCTGTATTAATGGCACCTGTTTGAACTTGTTATCAGTATAAAAGACACCTGTCCACAACCTCAAACAGTCACACTCCAAACTCCACTATGGCCAAGACCAAAGAGCTGTCAAAGGACACCAGAAACAAAATTGTAGACCTGCACCAGGCTGGGAAGACTGAATCTGCAATAGGTAAGCAGCTTGGTTTGAAGAAATCAACTGTGTGAGCAATTATTAGGAAATGGAAGACATACAAGACCACTGATAATTTCCCTCGATCTGGGTCTCCACGCAAGATCTCACCCCGTGGGGTCAAAATGATCACAAGAACAGTGAGCAAAAATCCCAGAACCACACGGGGGGACCTAGTGAATGACCTGCAGAGAGCTGGGACCAAAGTAACAAAGCCTACCATCAGTAACACACTACGCCGCCAGGGACTCAAATCCTGCAGTGCCAGACGTGTCCCCCTGCTTAAGCCAGTACATGTCCAGGCCCGTCTGAAGTTTGCTAGAGTGCATTTGGATGATCCAGAAGAGGATTGGGAGAATGTCATATGGTCAGATGAAACCAAAATATAACTTTTTGGTAAAAACTCAACTCGTCGTGTTTGGAGGACAAAGAATGCTGAGTTGCATCCAAAGAACACCATACCTACTGTTAAGCATGGGGGTGGAAACATCATGCTTTGGGGCTGTTTTTCTGCAAAGGGACCAGGATGACTGATCCGTGTAAAGGAAAGAATGAATGGGGCCATATATCGTGAGATTTTGAGTGAAAACCTCCTTCCATCAGCAAGGGCATTGAAGATGAAACGTGGCTGGGTCTTTCAGCATGACAATGATCCCAAACACACCGCCCGGGCAACGAAGGAGTGGCTTCGTAAGAAGCATTTCAAGGTCCTGGAGTGGCCTAGCCAGTCTCCAGATCTCAACCCCATAGAAAATCTTTGGAGGGAGTTGAAAGTCCGTGTTGCCCAGCGACAGCCCCAAAACATCACTGCTCTAGAGGAGATCTGCATGGAGGAATGGGCCAAAATACCAGCAACAGTGTGTGAAAACCTTGTGAAGACTTACAGAAAACGTTTGACCTGTGTCATTGCCAACAAAGGGTATATAACAAAGTATTGAGAAACTTTTGTTATTGACCAAATACTTATTTTCCACCATCATTTGCAAATAAATTCATTAAAAATCCTACAATGTGATTTTCTGGATTTTTTTGTCTCATTTCGTCTGTCATAGTTGACGTGTACCTATGATGAAAATTACAGGCCTCTCTCATCTTTTTAAGTGAGAGAACTTGCACAATTGGTGGCTGACTAAATACTTTTTTTCCCCACTCTATCTACAGAAATAAGACAGATCCTGCTTCTGTTGCCCGTATGAGTGTTTGTTTAATAGTCTACTGATTCCGTGAGCGCCAAGCCTCACGCAACCATAGCTACACACGTTATTTTCGTTAGAACAGCCTCTCTGGTATTATTTATATGTTATTTAGTGTTGTTTACACTGTTCCAAAACGTCAAGAAAATAATAATAACCCTCCTTTTTCATGATCTCCTTGTTATTTTTACTATTATTATTATTTTCACTATTATTATTATGATCATCATTATCATTATAAATGATGTCATTATCATTAGTAGGCTTAGTATAGCAACCTTGCGTGACCACCATCGAGCTGTAGGCCTAAGAGCGCATCCTGTTTAGTCTTTAACACCGTAAATTACTTAGGCCTATATTTCAATAGTTATATTGGCTATGTCATCACACAAGCATATGAGTCATTCTTGAAAGAAATCCAAAAATCAAGGATTTTAGTTTCTAAAATAAAATAAAGCGATCCTTGAATAATTAGCGTAAACAATGAATAAACCTTTCCATTTCGGAAATTGCACTCACGATGAATGCGACCGTATAGTCTTTGCTGTAATAAAGGCTTTACAAGTAACTACATTTCTTTACAACAGACTCTCTGGTACGCTTTTATTTAGTGTGGTTTCCATTGTTCTAATCTGATCCTGTTCGGCACACATAACATGCATGCAGCGCTTGCTCCTTAACTTATTTTTCTTGATCTCCACTATTTTCCACAACTAGTCAAATTTATTCCACACATCTGACTTCCCCTTTACCTCCTGTGCAACCAGTAAACATTCCCATTTACCTCCTGAGAAACCAGTAAACATTCCCCTTTACCTCCTGAGAAACCAGTAAACATTCCCCTTTACCTCCTGAGAAACCAGTAAACATTCCCCTTTACCTCCTGAGAAACCAGTAAACATTCCCCCGTTTCAAGTTTATTTGTCACGTCCTCTGCATCCATTTTGCTGTCACTTGTTATGGTGTTCAGAGTTTGTTATAACCAATTTATTGATGTGCTTATGATATATATATAAAAAAAATGTTTTGTCATTTAGCAGACGCTCTTATCCAGAGCGACTTACATGAGCAATTAGGGTTAAGTGCCTTGCTCAAGGGCACAGACAGATTTTTCACCTAGTCGGCTCGGGGATTAGAACCAGCGACCTTTCGGTTACTGGCACAACGCTCTTAACCACTAAGCTACCTGCCGCCCCATGACATGCTATAGGTCAGGCCCTATTGGACACGTGCCCTGCAATGCATACATGTGTCACGTAAAGAGAGCAAGGGTTGAGGGAATTAGAGATTTCGGTAACAGAACATTTCAGTCAGAAACGGCTGTAATTATGTTGCAGCTTCAGCAACACGGACAGCGTGATAAAAACACGGTTGACGTTCTGTGGTGGTCGCTGCAGCAGGGAGGAGAGAGAGACAACGGGGTGCTAGTCACACAGTCACTCGCTGTCGTTTTTTTAACACAGCAAGTCTGAGCCCCGCCTGGCACACTCAATTTAATTGCGGTCGGACTCCCTCTAGTCATGTGTGTGTCTTAATTATTTCATCAAACAGTGCGTTTAAAGCATCAGACAAGCTCAGTGCATATAGTTGATTTGATTAAAACACATAGGATGCGTCTACATATGGAAAAATACACGTTTTAAAATTGAGACCAATCAATTGGTCGAAAGAACAAACGACTCTCGGTCGACCAATATTTTTTTGGGGGGTCAAAGGACAGCCCTAGTATGTGTGTGTTCTTACCCTCCAAGGTCTGTGTGTGTGTGGTGGTTCCTCCACCTCTCCCTCTACATCACTAGAGGACAGCCAGCTATCGTAGCTACATGAAACACAAACACAGTCATACACATGATTATGGTGTGTGTGTGTGTGTGTGTGTGTGTGTGTGTTACCTGTCAGGGTGCCTTCCCCAGTGCACCAACACATGCTTGTTTTTCCGCATGATGGGACGCACCCACTCATCTGGAACAATCAGTAGACACACACGGTCACTTAAAATGGAAATTGGGGTCATAGCTGTCAACACCGACTATGAACACATACGCACACTGACCGTGATCTGTAACGGCTGGACGGGGGTAGATGTGGTGAGAGGCCTGGGTTCTGTCCTCAGTCAACGAACCCTGAGACAGACAACTACATTAACCAAGAGAGAAAACAACATTACCCACCATTCTGGCAATATTACATAAATCCCCCTCCCTCACCTGGTGTTTGGTGATGATGTCAGCCAGTCTGCTGTTCAGGTTCTGATCCACCTCCTGGTCCACATACACCACGGGCCTCGAAAGACAGCTATTCTGGACCAGGTTCTTCTCCAGGGTAGTAAACATCTCTAAGTTATGGTCCGTCCTAGAGGAGTTCTGTAGGTCAAACCTTCTCCTGGGGGAGGGAGAAAGGGATAAAGGAAATGGAAATAAGGAAGAGTGGAGAAAGGGTGGAGGGTCTCAGTGAAATGCTTTCTGTGTCATAAGCACACACTTGAGGTATAGTGCCATGCAGATCACCAAGCAGGGGCTGAAATGGGACGTGGCCCGGAGGTGTCACTCACAAGCCCTGATAGAGGTAGAAGGTAGGGGATAGGAGGTACAAGATAGGTAATAAGATCTGTCACTCACCAGCCCTGATCCATCTTGAACTTGTAGGCGGAGCCAAGGATGTGGCAAAGCCCGCCTCCAGGCAGCAGGTCCAGGAAGCACTGAGACTAGAGGGGAGTACACCCAGGGGCAGTTTGGTGAGCATGGGTTGAGAGTATGTGTTAGTGTGCGCGTGTGTGTGTACTCACAGGTAGCTTGGTGAGTGTGGGTTTGTCTGCACTTCTGCCAAGAACCTCTTCCTGGAACTGTAGCAGCTGCAGTGTGAGGGAAGCTAGAGCCGGGCAGGATGGAGAGTCTGCCTGCACATACTGCGCACACACACACACAGAGTCATCCTTACACACAGAGTAATCCAAAAGGACATGTAACTAGTATAGATAGCCAACAGTCAGACATCTAGTATAGCTTGAGCATCTAGCTACGTCATACTATCCGCAGCAGTCAGTACTAAATATGGAGCACATTAGCAATAAGTGTAAAAACAGGTCATAATGTAACAGAATTAGCTTGTAAAAAGAGCTAACGTTAGTGTACTAGCCATCTTGTTAGCTAGCTTCCAACCTCAGATAGCTGGATAAGGTTGATGTTGATGTTACCGCATACAGCAAATGTTTTTAATAAACAGTTAGTAACAAAGTGGTGAGAGACTGCCTAGTTTTCATTTAGTCCGAATCAACAGTGGAGTTAGCCGCTATGCTAGTGTTAGCTCACGCACCTTTTTGTAGTGCTTCCCGATCCACTGTCGGACAGTCTCGAGCTGAGCCAGGGTATCGGGGCTCTCCCAAAACCTCGCGGACAGATTTCCGTTTTTCTTTCGCTGTGCTGTGGTGGTGCGTGGACTCTGGCTGGTCCCAGGAGCCACAAGATTCGGTCCTCCAGACGCTGTCGCCATTATAACGCCGATAATAACGGGTGGAAAACTAGCCCGCTTAATTGCTGTTACGGCTGCAAGACAGCCTCGCCCACACGCTATGTGCAACTTCCCAAAACACGCGATAGAACGGGAGAATTTTTCAAAAATACAAATTGATTCAGGTGTTCACTCTCTATGTCCAGCAGATAGAAGCAAAACTCCACTGTCTGACACAGATCAGCTGAAGTGTGAACTGATAATATATACATACATTCACTGGAACTGATGCATGGCAAGGCGCCATTATCTCTTTTACATAAAATCTTCGATTAGAGTAATAAAACGAGATTTTCTTGTGTTGTTTTTTTATACAATGAACAGCTAGCAAGTAGATTAGAAGGTCATCGCCTTCGTTACTGACGAATGAACTAATTGCTCCTGTAAGTCGCTCTGGATAAGAGCGTCTGCTAAATGACTAAAATGTAAATGTATGAACTAAATCTCCCAAGGTACCGCTCCTGTCCTGACGTAGAAGAAAGTAAACTTGGCATGTGGCTAGGGTAAATTGTTTTGAAGTGAAACTGGTGTGTTTTCAATACAACTGGGTTGTCATTAGTTAATTATGGTTAGTAATAATGTTAGCAGTGTGGTTAAGGTTAGGTTTAAAAATCAGATATTAATGCTGCATTCAAAACAACTCGGAACTCGGAAATCTCTGACTTCAATCCGTTTAAGACAACTGGGAACTCGTGGAAAAAACGAGCTGTGACTGGGAAAAATCGTTTTGAATGGTCATCCAACTCGGAATTCCAAGTCGGAAACTCAGGCATCTTTCTCGAGTAACGACTCTCCGACCTGAAGATCACTGACGTCATGAATTGACCTCGTATTCTTCCGAGTTCCCAGTTGTCTTGAAGGCACCAATAGCGTATGTTTTTCCATGGCGGCATTGGTCAGCGACACAGCCATTCTCCAGAATAATAATAATGTATAGTGTAGAAAAGAGTACATAGTTTCTATCAGGGTTGAAAGTAGATTTAATTTCTACCCGGTACGGACCTCCCACGCACGTGAACCCAAAAAATGTATGTGCCCTGGACGTTCTGCCGCCCTAGGCGAGACAAAAAAATGACTAACCCTCCTATCCCAACTAAACTATAATGTATTTTAACCGTTATTTAACTAGGCAAGTCAGTTAAGAACAAATTCTTATTTACAATGACGGCCTACACCGGCCAAACCCGGACGACGCTGGGCCAATTGTGCGCCGCTCTATGGGACTCCCAATCACGGCCGGTTGTGATTCTGTAGTGACGCCTCAAGCACTGAGATGCAGTGCCTTAGACCGCTGCGCCACTCGGGAGCCCAGAATAGACTAGTGTACAGCAGAGGTCTGCAATAGGTTTTTTTATCGTGCCAAAAAAAATTCTCAGCTAAAAGTCGGCATGACAGAACATAATAGCGGTCCAATTCATAGGCAAAGGAAACACAATTTTACACATCTGGTCAGTTCAATGACAATAACATATCCTAATATTTTCGATCTGATTACACTGATAAAATCCCCAATGTCTCTATAAAATTAGTTGTATATTTATTTGTGCAATGATTGGGGAAAAACAGCTTGCAATCAAAAGAAAATGTTCTCTGAAAAAGTCTCAAAAGAACGAAATTGAAGGGGTTAGAATACTTTCTGAATGCACTGTACATACATACATTGACTGTACAAAACATTAAGAACGCCTTCCTAATATTGAGTTGCACCCCCTTTTGCCCTCAAAACAGCTTCAATTTGTCGGGAAATGTACTCTAAAAGGTGTCGAAAGCGTTTCACAGGGATGCTGGCCAATGTTGACTCCAATGCTTCCCACAGTTGTGTCAAGTTGGCTGGATGTCCTTTGGGTGGTGGACCATTCTTGATACACATGGTAAAGTGTTGAGCATTAAAAAAAACAGCAGCATTGCAGTTCTTCAGAAACTCTAACTGGTGCGCCTGGCACCTACTACCATAGCCCATTCACCCTCTGAATGGCACACATACACAATCCATGTCTCAATTGTCTCAAGGCTTAAAAATCCTTCTTTAACCAATATCTTCCCCTTCTACAATATACAATAATTGAAGAGGATTTAACAAGTGACATCAATAAGGGATCATAGCTTTCACCTGGTCAGTCTATGTCATGGAAAGCACAGGTGTTCCCTAATGTTGGAAAAAAAATTCTCAATTTGTCTGTCATAGTTGACGTGTACCTATGATGAAAATTACAGGCCTCTCTCATCTTTTTAAGTGGGAGAACTTGCACAATTGGTGGCTGACTAAATATTTTTTTCCCCCACTGTACATACATACATACATACATACATACATACATACATACATACATACATACATACATACATACATACATACATACAGTGAGGGAAAAAAGTATTTGATCCCCTGCTGATGTTGTACGTTTGCCCACTGACAATGAAATGATCAGTCTATAATTTTAATAGTAGGTTTATTTGAACAGTGAGAGACAGAATAACAACAAAAAAATGCAGAAAAATGCATGTCAAAAATGTTATAAATTGATTTGCATTTAAATGAGGGAAATAAGTATTTGACCCCCACTCAATCAGAAAGATTTCTGGCTCCCAGGTGTCTTTTATACAGGTAGCGAGCTGAGATTAGGAGCACACTCTTAAAGGAATGCTCCTAATCTCAGTTTGTTACCTGTATAAAAGACACCTGTCCACAGAAGCAATCAATCAATCAGATTCCAAACTCTCCACCATGGCCAAGACCAAAGAGCTCTCCAAGGATGTCAGGGACAAGATTGTAGACCTACAAAAGGCTGGAATGGGCTACAAGACCATCGCCAAACAGCTTGGTGAGAAGGTGACAACAGTTGGTGTGATTATTCGCAAATGGAAGAAACACAAAATAACTGTCAATCTTCCTCGGCCTGGGGCTCCATGCAAGATCTCACCTCGTGGAGTTGCAATGATCATGAGAACGGTGAGGAATCAGCCCAGAACTACACGGGAGGATCTTGTCAATGATCTCAAGGCAGCTGGGACCATAGTCACCAAGAAAACAATTGGTAACACACTACGCCGTGAAGGACTGAAATCCTGCAGCGCCCGCAAGGTCCCCCTGCTCAAGAAAGCACATATACATGCCCGTCTGAAGTTTGCCAATTAACATCTGAATGATTCAGAGGAGAACTGGGTGAAAGTGTTGTGGTCAGATGAGACCAAAATCCAGCTCTTTGGCATCAACTCAACTCGCCGTGTTTGGAGGGGGAGGAATGCTGCCTATGACCCCAAGAACACCATCCCCACCGTCAAACATGGAGGTGGAAACATTATGCTTTGGGGGTGTTTTTCTGCTAAGGGGACAGGACAACTTCACCGCATCAAAAGGACGATGGACAGGGCCATGTACCGTCAAATCTTGGGTGAGAACCTCCTTCCCCCAGCCAGGGCATTGAAAATGGGTCGTGGATGGGTATTCCAGCATGACAATGACCCAAAACACATGGCCAAGGCAACAAAGGAGTGGCTCAAGAAGAAGCACATTAAGGTCCTGGAGTGGCTCCAGACCTTAATCCCATAGAAAATCTGTGGAGGGAGCTGAAGGTTTGAGTTGCCAAACGTCAGCCTTGAAACCTTAATGACTTGGAGAAGATCTGCAAAGAGGAGTGGGACAAAATCCCTCCTGAGATGTGTGCAAACCTGGTGGCCAACTACAAGCAACGTCTGACCTCTGTGATTGCCAACAAGGGTTTTGCCACCAAGTACTAAGTCATGTTTTGCAGAGCGGTCAAATACTTATTTCCCTCATTAAAATGCAAATTCATTTATAACATTTTTGGGGGATTTTTTTGTTGTTATTCTGTCTCTCAATGTTCAAATAAACCTAGCATTAAAATTATAGACTGATAATTTCTTTGTCAGTGGGCAAACGTACAAAATCAGCAGGGGATCAAATACTTTTTTCCCTCACTGTACATACATAGAGTGCCTTCAGAAAGTATTCACACCCCTTGACTTTTTCCACATTTTTTTTGTGTTACAGCCTGAATTTAAAATGGATTAAATAGCGATTTTTTTGTTGCAGGTGTACACACAATAGCCCAAAATGTCAAAGTGGAATTATGTTTTTAGAAATTTTAGAAATTAATAAAAAATTAAAAGTTGAAATGTTTTGTCAGTAAGTATTCAACCCCTTTGTTATGGCAAGCCTACATTTTTGCGTAATAAGTCACATAATAAGTTGCATGGACTCACTCTGTGTGCAATAATAGTGTTTAACTTGAAATTTTAATGACTACCTCATCTCTGTACCCCACACATACAATTATCTGTAAGGTCCCTCAGTCGAGCAGTGAATTTCTAACTCAGATTCAACCACAAAGACCAGGGAGGTTTTCCATTGCCTCGCAAAAAAGGGCTCATATTGGCAGACATTGAATATCCCTTTGAGCATGGTGAAGTTATTAATTAAAGTTTGGATGGTGTATCCATACACCCAGTCCCTACAAAGATACAGGTGTACTTCTTAACTCAGTTGCCGGAGAGGAAGGAAACCGCTCAGGGATTTCACCATGAGGCCAATGGTGACTTTAAAACAGTTAAGAGTTTAATGGCTGTAATAGGAGAAAACTGAGGAAGGATTCACAACATTGTAGTTACTCCACAATACTAATCTAATTGACAGAGTGTAAAGAAGGAAGCCTGTACAGAATACAAATATTCCAAAACATGCATCCTTTTTGCAACAAGGCACTAAAGTAATACTGCAAAAAATGTGGCAAAGCAATTCACTTTGTGCCCTGAATACAAATTCAACACAACACATCACTGAGTACCACTCTTCATACTTTCAAGCATAGTGGTGGCTGCATCATGTTATGGGTATGCTTGTCATTGGCAGGGACTAGGGAGTATTTTAGGATAAAAAGAAACGGAATAGAGGTAAGCACAGGCAAAGAGGCACAGAGGAAAACCTGGTTCAGTCTGCTTTCCAACAGACACTGGGAGAAAAATGTACCTTTCAGCAGGACAAGAACCTAAAACACAAGGCCAAATATACACTGGAGTTGCTTACCAAGACGACATTGAATGTTCCTGAGTGGCCTAGTTACAGTTTTGACTTAAATTGGCTTGAAAATCTATGGCAAGACTTGAAAATGGCTTTCTAGCAATGATCAACAACCAACTTAACAGACCTTGAAGAATTGTTTTAATAATAATGTGCAAATATTGTACAATCCAGGTGTGCAAAGCTCTCAGAGTTACCCAGAAAGATTCACAGCTGTAATCGCTGCCAAAGGTGATTCTAACATGTATTGACTCAGGGTTGTGAATACTTATGTAAATTAGATATTTCAGTATTTCATTTTCAATACATTTGCAAAGATTTCGAAAAACATGTTTTCACTTTGTCATTATGGGGTATTGTGTGTAGATGGGTGAGGGGAAAAAATCAATTTAATCAATTTTGAATTCAGGCTGTAACACAACAAAATGTGGAATAAGGCAAGAGGTATGAATACTTTCTGAAAGCACTGTAGATAAGGCCGTTGGCCTCCACTCTGCCGTGGCTACAATGAGGCATCTGCATGCTGGTCCGCCACGACTCACACAGCGTGTCATAACACTCAGGTTCCACGCTGAGCAGCCTAGAGGGAGAGACGGACAGAGACACAGGGACACACTCTGACAAAAATTAGCGCACACACACACACACTTCAATACAATGTTCTGTATTGAACATTACATTACAATGCTGATATAGATCAGCCATAAGCCTAACACCTCCCTGTCCTCTAGTGTGTGTGTGTGTGTGTGTGTGTGTGTTTTACTGTCCAGTGGTGTAGGGGGCCTGGTTTACAACAGAGAAAAGGTTAGAACACACACACACACACACACACAACTTTCTCTGTGTTGCAACACAAGTCACACTGCTCCGATTTCAGACTCTAATACAACACACACACACACACACACACACACACACACACACACACACACACACACACACACACACACACACACACACACACACACACACACACACACACACACACACACACACACTTCCAGTACATCGTTTGGAGTAACAGTTGTCCTTCAGTATGTTGTAACAGTCCATCCTCTTTATGGGGAACAGCTGAGATCCTCCCAGAATGTAGACAACAATATCCCAGAACACCACCGTGGCATCACGACGCTTCTCAAACGGACGGATGTCTGACCAGCTGTAGTCCTCAACACACACACACACCGTTTTTGAAATGATTCAGCCATTTTGTTACCATCTCCACATATTTGAATGACACAAATGGACTACAGACTGGCTCTGACTGAAGGACGTAATCTGATAGGTGTGTATGTGTGTGTGTACCTTAGGGTTGAAGTATCTGCAGGACTATGGATGGGAGCCGCCAAACAGAGCAATCCTGTAGTCGTGTTTCTTACGTCGCAGTCAACTGTTCTCTCCCAACTCCTCCCAATCCTCTGGGGATAGCAGGTGGTACCACATCCCACCTACACACACAGGAGAGGTTACACACACACACACACCGACCGCTGTTACACACACACACACACACACACACACACACCGAGAGCAGCTAGCACCACTCTGTTTGCCCTGAAACACCAAGATCACATCACCATGATCACATCATGTACAGTACCCTGCAGAAAACACTGTTAGACACAAGCTCACTCACACACCTGTGTCCTCAGGTTGTACATGATGCCCATGGTACTGGACAGGAAACTAAACTCGTCTCTAGCCAACTTATTTTCATTTTTCTTCTTGGAGCCTGAAGCTGAGGGTTTGTCTCCTGTTGCAGCTGCAGAAGTCATGCTGGTGCTGGCCATAGCTGCTAGCTACTACATTAGGTGCTGGCCATAGCTGCTAGCTACTACATTAGGTGGCCAGTTAGGGGTTGTCAACATTTTCAAAATAATAATGTGTATGTCTAAGCAGACTAGCTTGCAATAGTAGCTATAACCCACTGCTTTTGCTGCTGCCAAAGTCCACTCCACAGCACAGCCTGTGTTTGTTTTGGTGTTAGCAGTTATGCTAACTTAGCTTGCTATAGAATGCGTGCCGCTTTTTTTTTTTTTTTAGTCATTTGGCAGACGCTCTTATCCAGAGCGACTTACATGAGCAATTAGGGTTAAGTGCCTTGCTTAAGGGCACATCGACAGATTTTTCACCTAGTCGGCTCGGGGATTAGAACCAGCGACCTTTCGGTTACTGGCACAACGCTCTTACCCACTAAGCTACCTGCCGCTTCACAGCGAGTTACACACCAATCTTTACGTTGCCTCGCTGGACGTAAACCACTGGGCTATAATATTCGTTTAGTTTGCTGACAGAAGAAGTCAAGAAGAGTTGGTTCTGATTTTATGTGTTAGCTAGCCGGCTAGCACTGCTCAGTTTCTCCTTTCTTCTGGGTTCCTGTTGTGGTAAAATCAGTGGCAGCGGCTGTCAAATATCGCCCTCTATTGCCGGTTTACAGACCGCCTCCGCTTGTCTGTTTTCATTCTGGATTGGGAAAAGTTTATTTGCTGCAGGTAGGCCTACGGTTTGTCGTTTCATAAATGCACTACTGAAAAAGACGGAGCTGACGTGTCAAATGTCTGTGTTTACTGTTGAATGCTAAAACTTATCGCTATGCATTTCACCTGTACTGTACACTTCCAGTGTATCCGGTGGGTGCACCTGTCCTCTATCTATTGCCACAGCTAGAAAACTATTCCGCAAATCCAGTCCCATGACAGGTGACGTCACCAGGAATGCGGGGCAGAGATGTATTGACCTGGATAAAGAGAGAGAAAGAGAGAGATTGAGAGAGATTGTGGAGAAAACGAATAAAGAGATATTGATTGCGAGGATTAACTGTTGGGTCTCGGGATCATTTCAGCGAGAATGTCTGTGCTATTCTGTTGCTGTGTCACTCCTTCCGAAGACAACGACGAGGTATTGTATAGGAACAGGAAAGAAACGTGATTTATTGTCTGAGGTTAGGTTACACAGGAACAAAGTGGCCTAGAACTTTATTTTTCCCGAGGGAACATCATTTGTGGAATCAGACACATAAGCACGGGCGGCAGGTAGCCTAGCGGTTAAGAGGTTGGTCCAGTAACCGAAAGGTTGCAAGTTCTTATTCCCGAACTGTCAGTGTGCCCTTGAGAAAGGCACTTAATCCTAATTGCTTCCGTAAATCGCTCTGGATAAGAGTGTCTGCTAAATGACTAAAATGTAAAATTAATCAGACATGCGTTAGGCTACATTCAAATAATAAGCTTGATCAGATCATGTTTACAACAAACCAATGTAATAGCGCACTGCATGTTTCTGCACCAGGAAGTGTTATGTCACAATGTTACCCACTTGAGTAAAACACAGACTACTGAATATAATAGGTCTGTTGTTACAGTGTTAGACATTGATTGGATTTATATATCCCGCCCATACCTCACTCACACAGTGGAACGTGTGTGTGTTACAGAGACAGCCCCTACTTCACACCAAGCCTTCAAAATCAGCTAAACCAGAGTCGGCCAGACAGCCTCAACCAGCAGCCACAGGTTCAATCACACATATTACCATCATATTACAAGTGTGTGTGTGTGTGTGTGTGTGTGTGTGTGTGTGTGTGTGTGTGTGTGTGTGTGTTATTGACTCTGTTTTTGTGTGTGTGTGTGTGTGTGTGTGTTTCAGTGAGTCGGAGTGGTCTGTTGGTCCCGAAGCGTGTGGGTGTGATAGACTTGGACCAGCAGTTCTCTGATGTAGCCTTGACGTTCAACCAACAACAGGAGAGCTATGATGCCATGAAGGAACGCATCATCTCTCTGCGATGCACCTACGACTGTAACAATGACAGCAACCTGACTCTGACAGAGTGTGTGAGGAAGATCAAAGAGGAGCACAGTGAGACACACACACACACACACACACATGGTTGTTTTAGTATCCTTGTGGGGACCAAACAATTGATTCCCATTCAAAATCCTATTTTCCCTAACCTCTTACCCTAACCCTTACCCTAACCTTAACCTTAACCTTTAAACCTAACCCTAACCCTATTTGTAACCCTAAACCTATCCCCTAAACCTAAAATAGCCTTTTTTCCTTGAGATCAGCTAAATGTCCCCACTTGTCCGAATTCTCCTTGTTTTACTATCCTTGAGAGGACTTCTGGTCCCCACAAGGATAGTAAAACCCCCCAAAGAAACACACACAGGCATAACAGAGCCATGCCAGTCCTCTCTCTCTTCCTGGCCTCACACAGCTCCAACACCATCATCAAGTTTGCTGACGACACGACAGTAGAAGGCCTTATTACCAACAACGATGAGACGGCCTACAGAGAGGATGTAGGCACTCTGACAGCATGGTGCCAGGTAAACAACTTCTCCCTCAACGTCAGCAAAATAAAGGAGCTGATTGTGGACTTCAGGAGGAACCAGGCTAGGCACCCCCACATCCTTATGAACTGGGCCGCCGCGGACATAAAGTTCCTAGTTGTACACATCTCCGAGGAGCTGAAATGGTCAAACCACACGGACCCCCCCCCCCCCGCTGCTCCCCCTTTGGACATTCCCTCTGGAACATTCTACCCCCCCCCCCCCAACAGACATTTACCCTGCCCCCACCCCCCAATGAACATTTGTTATTGTTACAGTCAATATGTATATATTATTATTTTACCTTTTTTTTAAATTATTGTTTTATTCACTTCTCTTTTTGACCTGCACTGTTGGAGCTCAGAGCTGAAGAATTTACTGTACCCTGCAATTACATCTACAACCCTGTGCTTGTGACTAATAAATTAATCTAATCTAATCTTTTTACCTCCCTCACTCCCTCTCCCTTCCATATGACAGTTACCGGGTAAGTCTACAGATGAAGGCTTATAACTTTTCTCTCTCTCTCTCTCTCTCTCTCTCTCTCTCTCTCTCTCTCTCTCTCTCTCTCTCTCGCTCTCTCTCTCTCTCTCTCTCTCTCTCTCTCTCTCTCTCTCTCTCTCTCTCTCTCTCTCTCCAGAGGACAGTTGCAGTGTAACCGTGGTGATGAAGGGGTATGACTTCTCTCTCTCAGTGGTTCCGCTGAGGTCTGCGGTCGAGGGGGAGGAGTCTCCACCTAGCCGTCTCCGATTGGCTCAGGAGGAGCTCTGGGGCATTTCCCAGGGCGCCAAAGCAATAAGCACCGCGGGGACCAAGCTCCAGGAGCTGATAGGCTGGCTGCTGAATGAGGAGGAGCGAATGGCGGAGAGGGTCAGGGAGGTGGCACCAACCCATCAGGACCGCTGTAGGCTGGAGAAGAACCTGATTGAAACCATGCAGGAAGTGAGAAGGGCGAGGGAGCTTTCGCTAGGTTACCGCCAGCAGGCTGGAGAGGTGCAAACTGAGGCCGCACAGATAGCAGGACTGGCCTGACACACACTGTGGAAAATCCCCTGTGGCTCCCACAAAACTTAGACGTTTCTGCAGCCCACTCAGACAATCTACTCCCGATGCCAAGGTGTCTGGCTGTAGAACTTTCTCACCACCATGGCCAACTGACCCCTGATTGGTTGCCATGTAGCCTGCCAACTATGATTCTGATCACCAGACTTATCTAGCCAAGGCAATTACCTGGTTTGGACCAGTTTAGGCTGCTCTGACCTCAGTGTCCTCCTCCAGCGGCACAGAGAGAGTGGATACTCCTGTATCCCTGTGCTTCTTCCTTCACCTCTGGACTTCTCCATCCAAGGACGACCACCTGCGGACACCTTTCCTCTTCACTCCTCTAGTGTGTGTGCGTCATTGCTCAAAGCAAGTGGACTTTGTGGAGCCAGTGTGCCTTTGTGTATACGTTTATGCACCTGTTGTAATCCAATGTTACAATCTTCTTGGTCACCACTATTCCTAACTGTTATCCAGTATAACTTGGTTAGTATTTCACCTGTATGTAATAAGCTGTGTTACATATGCTGGTTATACACTTATGGTCGAGTTATGAGTAGTTATTTTGTGGCCAATAGTTAGGCTACACTCTAGGCCTACTTGCCATTGAAACCTATAGGCCTAAGATGGCCGCCAGCTGCAAGGTAATTTAGATATTCAATTTGGCTGCCATGTGTTACCGCATCGAGAAGATTGAAATACTGCTAGTTTTTAATTAAACTGCCTTTTTCGTCAGCACACTAGCCTAGCTAATGCTAAAGCAACCCATTGGATTCCACAACACTTCCGGTAGCTACTCACTCCAACGGTAGGTATTCTATTTTAATGGAATCCTTTAGCATTAGCTAGCTTAGAATGAGGAGGAAAAAGGCAGTCTACTTAAAAACTAGCAGTATTGCTATCTTCTCAATTTGTCATTTCGGATATTGGGATAATTAGGAATAAGCTACAGCAACATCTTCCATCCCTGGATTGAGGTCTGTTTTCGAGCCATATCACGCTATTATCCCGGTAGTATTTTTCTCATTACTGTTGCTATATCTTTATAGCTATTCCACTGTGTAATGTATACATCATTTGTCTCTTCCTTTATAGATAGCATTTATAATCACTATCTCCCATTCTCCTGGCAATAAACCTGAGTTTTTTACCCCTGTCTCCTACTGAGTCATCCCCCTCTAACCAGGGACCTAGTGCAGTTGTTCGTCTTACTGGGGACCTAGTGCAGTTGTTCCTCTTACCGGGGACCTAGCGCAGTTGTTCCTCTTACCGGGGACCTAGCGCAGTTGTTCCTCTTACCGGGGACCTAGCGCAGTTGTTCCTCTTACCGGGGACCTAGTGCAGTTGTTCCTCTTACTGGGGACCTAGTGCAGTTGTTCGTCTTACTGGGGACCTAGCGCAGTTGTTCCTCTTACTGGGGACCTAGTGCAGTTGTTCCTCTTACCGGGGACCTAGTGCAGTTGTTCGTCTTACTGGGGACCTAGTGCAGTTGTTCGTCTTACTGGGGACCTAGCGCAGTTGTTCCTCTTACTGGGGACCTAGTGCAGTTGTTCGTCTTACTGGGGACCTAGTGCAGTTGTTCGTCTTACTGGGGACCTAGTGCAGTTGTTCGTCTTACTGGGGACCTAGTGCAGTTGTTCCTCTTACCGGGGACCTAGTGCAGTTGTTCCTCTTACCGGGGACCTAGCGCAGTTGTTCCTCTTACCGGGGACCTAGCGCAGTTGTTCCTCTTACCGGGGACCTAGCGCAGTTGTTCCTCTTACCGGGGACCTAGTGCAGTTGTTCCTCTTACCGGGGACCTAGTGCAGTTGTTCCTCTTACCGGGGACCTAGTGCAGTTGTTCCTCTTACCGGGGACCTAGTGCAGTTGTTCCTCTTACCGGGGACCTAGTGCAGTTGTTCCTCTTACCGGGGACCTAGTGCAGTTGTTCCTTACACCTTGCACTGGCAACTCTATGGGTCCACCTCTTACCGGATGGTACTCTTTCACACACACTGAGAGGAGAGAGACCTCTGCTGACACAGAATCTATAAATGTCACTTTTAAATATTTTGGGAAGCAATGTAGGCTATTTTTACTATCACGTAAAAGCACACAATGGACCTACACTGTTAGAAAACACTCTCCTGCAGGGGTCGGCTGATCCTGGTCTTGGAGTGCCACAGATTATGACTGGTTATAGATAGTGTTTAAGTATTGTATAGTGAGTATAGCTCTTAACTAGTTAGAGAAATTAGCTGAGATATATCCTGATGTATCCTGGACAGGAATTCCTAATCTAATCTAATCTAAACCTAAACAAACACTGTCGATGTTAGAGATCATGTTAGGGTGTTAATACTGTATGTTATTGTGTTTTATAACAAATTAAAATGCACTCTGTTGTTGGTGTCTTAAGATTTATGTGAACATGTTTCAGTGACATAGCTGAGTATGAGAACATGGTATACAAAACATCACAACCACTTAGCACAACACAGAGACTCCTTACTGGTACTGACAGGCCCAGGCAGCAGGAGAGGGAGATGTAGGGAAGGAGAGACTGTGTGGGGGGGTTACAGGCAAGAGAGCGAGAGAGAGAGAGATGTGTGTGCTTGAGATTGAGAGAGAGAGAAAAAGAGAGATGAGAGGATGGAGGAAAAGCTTTGCTACTGACATGTTGCGCTGCAGTGTGGACTAGGACAAGCCAGGCCATGTGCCTGGTCAATCATTTACATCATGTATTAGTTCAAATGTTAAGTACAGCAATTATCTGAAGGCCTACTGTTTTTCTGCATCCATAACTTTTGCAGGACCATTAGCTGTGCACATCTAACGCTGCTCCTCATAAGCTACTGGCAGTTGGAGGCTTGTCTATGAATGTACCAAATAATATATTTCCAGAGTTACTTATTACATCAACCTGGTATAATTATTATTATTATACCATTATATTTTTCTGGTTAAGAACAGTTATATAATGTAAGTCAATAGTCGCTGCAGTGAAAACCATGTAGATACAATTTATAATCCAGCATATTATAAATACACACCCTTTAAAGAGTTGAGAACATGTATTTTTTTATTGTCCTATCATGATGGAACGATCCCCAACCCTATATCCTGGACACCCACCTGAGTGACCCATACACCAAAGAGAAGTTCCCATCTGTTTTATGGACCTGCTGTGAGTATGCAGCCTAAACAGAGAAATAGATGCGGTCAGAGACTTACTTGAGCAGCACCGCCCCCTCAAGATTCTGAGCCTGCCTGGCAGGGTTGGTCCTACAAAGCCAGAGCCCCCTGATGGGAGAGCATAATATACAAGGAAATTCTCAAAGCTGCTAATGAGAACCTTGACGACCTTGTACCTAGCCGGTGGGGATTCCGGTGGGGTATCCCCACCCAGGTAGTGGCAGTGCTGGCAACACTGGCTGCAGTAACCCATGGGGAGGGGGTCACACTCTGATAATCAGAGAGGGGGCTTACTATTGTGGCCCAAGTGGCACAAAATAATCAAAGGTATGACTGCACGGAGATGCTTGGGAAAATGGTTACAACAGGGGACCAGAGTGTTTGTGTCTCAGGTGAAGAGGGGTGGATCTGATCTCCATCACCTAGGACTTAACATAGATTAAATAGATTAATCAAATCTCACATTGTTGTTCACTTTTGCTCAATCTTGCATGCTTTCTCAAGCGGCTGTAACTGTATATGCATTCGTAAATCAGGTCCTTTCTTGAGTTGAGCTCTGGGATGTATCAACCATTGAGCATCTGATCTTGTGGTTGGTTGTGGGGGGGGGGGGGGGGGGGGGGGGGGGGGGAGGGTGAGTGTGTGTGTCTGTGTGTGTGTATGAGTTTGTGTCTGTTGCGGGGGGGTGGGGGTGGGGGGGGGGGGGGGGTTGAATCGCAGTGGATGTTTGCTGAAGTGAAAGTTGCTTGTTAAAAATGTAATGTAATACAATGGCAATTCGGGTTATAGGTTAAAATCCTACGCATGAACTGCCAACATTATTACGCACATTAATTGATAATGATGGAAAATAAGATATGCAAGATATTTGAATAGATATCTTTTAAATAGCTATATCAATATATTGAGGTGAGAGCATTGGAAATGCTTTTGGCGGTTGACCTGCTTCTGTTTTGTGGGTGGCATAGGGATCCGGGGGGACAGGGGTGGTATGCTGATCACTGGGATGATGGCCCAACTTGGGATGGGGAGGGGTTTTAGCGGGGGAAGTAGTGGAGAACAATTGGAGGGTTATTTAGTAACATTGCAAATATCATGGTATAGCTATATGGAAACTCAATCACTATGGTATTTTCTATTGGTAAATTTACAAACATATATAATGACAAATAGATTTGAAACTTGTATCTCATTATGGTATTTGGTGAAATAGGTATAGCCAGTTATAATTGTAATGGCTTAGCAGATAATAACAAAAGAAGAACAATATTTACATGGCTCAAAGAGAAAGAATATAATATCTATTGTTTACAGGAATGTGCAAATTGTCCAAACAGATACGCAAGGTAGATGGATTATTTTAAATATGTTATTGGACCATAAACAAATATGGCTCATTAACCTTTACGGATCAAATAATGATGATCCACACTTCTTTGAAAATATATATAATAAATTATCGACCTTGCAAGCAATTCAATACTCTATTATTATGGCGGGAGATTATAATACCGTTTTAAATAGCTCAATGGACCGTAAAGGAAATCACACTACAAACAATCACCCTCATGCTCTTAAGGAAATCGTGAATGTCATGCATACATTAGAACTAGTAGATATATGGAGGCTTAAATATCCTGATCTAGTGAGATATACATGGTGGAGACTCAATCAAGCTAGTCGCCTTGACTTCTTTCTTATGTCATTCTCGTTGGCACCAAAAGTTGAAAAAGTGTTGACAGGGGACAGAATGCGGTCGGACCATCATATAATTGGCATATACATTACTCTTACTGAATTTCCACGTGGGCGAGGATATTGGAAATGTAATCAAAGCCTATTGAATGATAACTTGTTTTTAACTAGGACAGAGGAATTTATAACTGATTTTTTCCGACATAACATAGGTACAGCAAATCCCCTTATTGTATGGGACACCTTTAAATGTGCCTTTAGAGGCCATGCAATTCAGTACTCATCTCGAAAACTAAAGCAATTTAGGTCAAAATAGTCCACACTAACAAAGGAAATAGAAGGTCTAACAGAACAGATAGATAGCAATAAAAACTGTAACATAGAGGCTCAGAATAAATTAGAGGAAAAATAAAAATAAATGGAGAAACTTATTCAAGAAAGATCAAGTGTAATATATTATCAAAATAAAGCAAACTGGATGGAATATGGGGAAAAATGCCCCAAATTCTTTTTAAATCTTCAACATAGGAATGCTACCAAAAATAATTTATTGAAACTGGTTACAAATTACGGAGTCACCCATGATTCACCAAATTATATTTTGAAGGAGGAAACAAAGTACTTTAAGCATATGTTTTTGTTTCAGTCGCCTCCATCTCCTCTAACTGAAGCAAATTGTTGAGATTTTTTTTCTATTGATAATGTAAACTTAACAGCCATACAGAAAGACTCATGTGAAGGTGAAATTACAGAGGAGGAACTCTGGATGCAATTAAAGACTTTAACTCCGGGAAAACTCCAGGGTTGGATGGCATACCAGTCGAGGTATACCAAACCTTTTTTGATATACTCAGAGGACCGTTATTAGCATGTTTTAACCACTCTTATGTAAATGGTAGATTATCAGACACTCAAGAAGAAGGTCTGACTTCATTATTACTGAAACAGGATACAAGTGGAAAATATAAAGATCCAGTCCATTTAAAAAATTGGCAGCCCCTTACACTTTAGTGTTGTGATGCAAAAATTCTAGCAAAATGTATAGCGCATAGAATTAAAAAGGTATTGTCGGACATTATTCATTCTAACTGTGCCACTAGAGATCCTGGTTCGAATCCAGGCTCTGTC